AACATCATGTATGTGTTGCTTCTTTTGGGCTTGTTGCTTATTTCTCTCAAATCTGGCAACAGAGTGGGCAGGGCGCAGTGTCTAATAGTAGCAGTAAGCTAACGAGAGGCTACTCTGGCTGGTGACTCGGGACAGAGAAAATGTCAGGAGTTTGGAAGTATTATAAAATTGAAAGCGAAGGCAGTGTAACAGCCAGATGCAATGTTTGCAAGGCGGAGGTTCCGCGTGGTGGAAAGAACATAGCTACGTTCAACACGACCAATCTAATACGCCACCTGAGAAACAAACACCAACAACAACACAACGAGTACACAGCGGCCATTCAGGTAACGGCACTGAAACAACCAACACTTTCAGAGACTTTTAAAAGGAAAGAGAAACTGCCCCAGAACAGTGAAAAGGCCAAAAAAATAACAGCCAAGATAGCTGAATTCATCGCGTTGGATGACCAGCCGTTATCTGTGGTGGAGAACGTGGGGTTTAAGGGACAACTTGAATGCTTTTCTCCTTTTTTTTCTCTTAATGCATTGCATAAAGATCGGATCGGGAAAAATCGGTATCGGCAGATTGTCAAAATCAAATGATCGGAATCGGATCGGGAGCAAAAAAAGGTGATCGGGACATCCCTATAACCAACTGTTAGCAAAAGAGAATTACATGATGTGTTTTATATTTACTATCAAAATGATTTAATAAGTCTTACTAAAATGAACTAGCTAAATCTGTTCATCCAACGTAGTTATTACACAATATTTTATCAATACACCTCCACATTTTTGTGGGACAAACATAAGGGGTAGTTTCGGTTAGGGTTAGCTTGACGTTAATGCATTCAAAGCCTGGAAGCATAATTGGTACAGTTATGATGGGCAACTTTCACTGAAAACATAGAGCAGCTGAACCTCTCTCAGCTTTTGGGTTTGTTGCACAGGAAATGGTGTTTTCTGACCAGTGACAGATTCACTTAAAGGTAGGGTAGGTAAGAATGGAGAAACCAGCTCGAGTGCGCTAGAATTTGAAAGTACACAACCGGAAAAGAATCTGCCCCTTCCTTCAGACTTCCTTACAGAGCCCCTCCTCCAACACACACAAACACGCACATGACCAATGAGGGCATGAGATAAGTTTGTGCACAGATGGAAGGCTGACAGGCAGGTAGGCCATCCAGTTATTTTAGCCGGGCCGGCTCAGATGATTGGTCGTGCTTTTTACAGCGCCACGGCTTCCACAGTTGACATTTTTTTATGTATTTATTGTCAAAGCATTTAATGTATTCATTGCTATCGGGATGTTAAGAGCATTCCATGGAATATAACAAAAAGTGTTTCTGAAGTGAATTACCTACCCCACCTTTAATTGTTTAGATAAAGTCACATACTGTCGCTCCTACAGTATCAGATACCCTACACATTATTATCATCAGTTATGTAACCTTTTTAACTCGTTCTACAAGTCTCTAGCGCTGATGTTTCTACCTCACAAAGAAGCTGACCTGAGTTTAAGCCCTTTTTAATACTCGTTACAGGTTTTAAATGATTTATTGATTATCTCTGTCTTTGTATCTGTTGTAAATATAGTATCTATCTATCTGTCCATCAGCTACTTTTACTTTGACCAAGTTTTACTTTGTGCTACATTTCATGTGCTACATTGTTTTTCTAAAGATGTCATTACCACCAGCTGTGTATCTGTCACCAGATGCAGCATCCACAGTCTAATGATGGGCCTTACTGGGTTCTTTCTAATAATTGCTAACAGGCATTTCCTTTCTTGCCTTCTACCTCTGTGTGTTCACTGTGTGATTTGCTCATGTGCGACTTTTTGTCTATATTTTTGGCTAATTCATTTGTGTTTTTTGTGTAGATCTTTCAATATTGCATGAAGGGTTTGAATGGAGAACATTAACTGCATGTTCTATCTGGACATCAACAGCGACAGTATGTCTAAAGCCAACCAAATGCCCCTTTTTTCATGGTACTTGAAATAGATGGTAATCATGTAATGTGCTTGATTTTGACATGACTCTATTACAATGACTCTACTGAGTACATCATGTCTTTGTTCTCTGGAATCTCAGCGCACTTAACTCTCTGACAGCCCAGATGTTTTAGCTCTGGTGCAGATTGGAAGATTGTTCTCCTTATTTTGTTCCGATCTGGAGCTAAACCACGGCCTCCAGAAAGCAAACCAAAAACATAAATAATAATAAAACTCAAAACTCTCCTTATATACATTAAGTTAAACAACATCCTTTTCTTACAGTGGATACCTTTTATCATGTCCCTCGTAGTGTGTGTGTGTGTGTGTGTGTGTGTGTGTGTGTGTGTGTGTGTGTGTGTGTGTGTGTGTGTGTGTGTGTGTGTGTGTGTGGTGTGTGTGTGTGTGTGTGTGTGTGTGGTGTGTGTGTGTGTGTGTGTGTTGTGTGTGTGTGTGTGTGTGTGGTGTGTGTGTTGTGGTGTGTGTGTGTGTGTGTGGTGTGTGTGTGTGTGTGTGTGTGTGGTTGTGTGTGTGTGTGTGTGATGGAAGTGGAGTTTAGGTTATCTGTGCTATCAGGGCCCTGCCTTTAGATGCTCCTGGGCTGTACAGAATAGATGACAACTGTGATGAATGAGCTGCATTTCACACTCTTAGACTGCATCTGGTGTCACTAGGTGTGCACGCACGTACACACAGAGACGCATATACTGCTCAGACACACAAAGCACTGTCAGTCTGCAAATTCACGCTCACTAACTCCGCAAATTATCCAGCATTTAGCTGATTTCCTTTGAAGTAAGGGCTTTTCTGGTGATGTGTGAGGCTGACTGAGTAGGAATGTGTGTGTGTTAAAAAGGACTGTAAAAGATGGACTATAAATGTGCAGGAGGAGACAATTGCTGACTCATTCATAACTTTCTGCCCAAATATCAACTTTTTCATCTCAAGCACTGTTAACAAAATGCCACGTCGTTGGGTAACCTTCTGGACCAGACGAAATACCAATAGACTCACCTTGCCTCCTCTGATATCCAATACAAATTCTTATTTTATGTATCTTTTCTACTCTAAGTTTCCTGTCTCAGTACAGTGGTTTTCATCATCCAGGTTGTAAGATGTCAGAGCAAGTTAAAAACTATTCACTGGTCCTTATTTTGCTGCACAGAAAGCTATAGAAACACAGTCTCATTAGGAGGAAAGGATAGTGACACCACTTAACTGCTGCTTACATTGTTGCTTTAACAGTATTGCCTCTGCAGTTTTCCAATACACCTACAGTATAAACCCAGGCAAGGGGAGTGGGTGCCAAAAGGAAGATATCCTCTGTGCATTTGTTCTTAACTACATCCTTATCCACAGGGATATACGCTAAGGAAACCCTCAGAAAGACAATTCAGATCAACAGCTCAAGGTTATATAGAGGATTTTGCTATTTATTCTTATACATGCATTTCAAATAACTTTTGTTTACCTCAGAGAACAGACATTAACGTTTTGGATTCATTATGACATGTGTCACCTTTCTGCAGATGCTTTATCCAGTATTTATTGAGGTTTATTGATGTATTACTTGCCGTTCAATTATAAATAATCCCGTGTTTTCTTTTCTTCTGATGGAGTGAACTCAAAACTGGATGGTAGATATTCACTTGCGAAAAAACTATAAAACTTGTTGGAGGCTGCCCTGAAAATCATTTAAACATGTCTGCCTGTTTTTGGTCGATAATTTAAGAATTATCCACCTCACAACATAAAGGAAATGGACTTTGTTGTCCAATAGGAGACAGAGCTTGGTTTTTGTCATAGGGTGTATTCATTAAACAGTGCCTTTACTGTGTGTGGAGCATGTGTAATGATGGAAGAAGAAAGCTACACATTTGCAATCATGCTGAGACAAATGAATGTGTAAACATCAGAGAGACAGATTTGCACATAAGTGCTTTTTGAGGGTGAGGAACTAAGCACAAGTAAAATAGATTTCAGGAGAACGGCAGGTGAAGAAAACGAAAAGGCAGGTGAGAGGAAGAGCAGAGGGTGATGGTTCAGAATTTGTAGAGGATTGCTACACCCTGTCTTTTTCCTTTTTTCGGTCCTTCTGGTTTGTCACCAAGCATCACTGGATGCCGTTATCAGAGCTTCATGTTGACTCAGCTGACAGCCTGTCACTCACACACACAGTCAGATGGAAAGGCTGAAGTGGATCTGAGGATACCAGCCTCTTCAAGTCTGCTCAGTAACTTTGATCTCTTTCCCTTATTGCTCTTTACATGTCGAAGTCTTTCTCATACACACGTTTACTGGATATCTCAACAGCTTGAAGTAGTGCCTTTATTTGATAGCACATGGTAAGTGACAAGAAACAGAAGCAGTGGGAGGACATGTGACCAAGATTACTAGCCAGACTCATGGCTTCGTGCCATTTGTCTCACATCTCCACGAGGACACCCCTCGCTCTCACAGCTTTGCCCAATTAAGATTTTCTGTGTGGCGTGAAAGGTTGTCGGGTTGTGTAGTCAGCAGATTGCTGTTTAGTGGAGTTGCAGTGTGTATTATTGGAATGGGGAGAGGACATCGATCTCTATCAGCACTCCCATAGGATAAATCTACCCACATGCTGACAAGAAACACAGATACACACACTCACACAAACACACACACACTTACTCACAATATTAATTGAGCTTAACATTGTTCCCATTCTAGAGCATTTGCCAGCTTCAGAAGAAACGCGTTAAATGAAGAATTATGGAATTATTTTACGGTTTGAAAAACAAAACATTACCATGGAACAATTTGACTGTGGCAGGTTATGATAAATGAAGCATGGTCATGATAATTCATTCTCTGTGGAAGCTTAACCCCTTTCTTGGCTAACAGAATTACATTTGACAGTTACAATGTATCCTTACAAAGAGCTTCTTATAATCCCTTATGAACTGTGTCCTTCCTTAATGATATTCAAGAAGTGCATGCAATCTGTGACAAAATGCTACAAATTCAAATGCATTTCATTTGTTTTGCAGAGACTCGGGAGGACCGCACTAAGAGACTGTTCAGACACTACACTGTGGGATCCTACGACAACTTCACCTCATACAGGTACAGCCTCGTTCATTGAGCTAGCACGCTAATGCAAAGTGCAGGCCATGATATTAGTGTATATTGTACTGCACAAACTACATTAGTCATATCTCATAATGCCTCATTACCTGTACATTGGTGATGCAGTGCATGTGAGAAGGTGTTAGAGCGTTATGGAGGTGCTGCCATCTAAAGGTAAAAGGCTGCTGGTGCACTCACTTCGAAGTGATAAGCAATTAGTTGTGTCTGTATGTGCACACAGTATATTCTACATGCATGGGTGTGTGCATGTTTCTGTGCCTGATATTTTAAGTCTTTATTTTCTTTAAGCTGTCCCCCTGACCTTTATTGTGTAGAGAGTGCTTTCTCTCTTTTAAATAAGACAAATGATCTGAGAGTGGATTAGCTGGCTGTGTGTGGTTTTGATGCCAATTCTGACTTGAATGCCACATTGTGTCAGTTTGAGACACGCGCTAGTCTGAGTGAGCATTGTTTCCATCCACTTTCTCAGCCTTTTTATTAAATGTCAAGTTCTTGCATTCTAGGTTTTAGTTGGATTAAATGCCATCTCTGTTAGCAGAGCTGCAGGTTTGTTGAAAGAGCATTACCACAGTCATACTATCCTGTGTTAGTCTACATACAGTATATGGGACATTGTATATACATACACCATTTATATTAGTTTTTTTGTACAGTACAGATGTTAGATGAGTACTAGAGGAAAATAAAATCATGTACAGGTTGTGATGCTTTCCAAAGGTGTGACAGTAAAGACAAGCACTGCACAAAATCACAGCTAAGAGAGACTTTAAGGAGCAGTTGCAACATATGAATATCTGAATAAATACCGGTTGCCGCAAAAGGTAGGACAGAAAGTTATTTTGTTACGTGGTACAATTTCCTTGATGGATATCTGTACTGTAGTCTGAGGAATATTAGTATCTCTAATGTCAAAGGACAGGTTTATTTTGAGGAGACATATACCGTCTAAAATTGTGTTTTACATGAGAGTTTTTATTGAGTTAAGTGGGCGGAAAAGAATCTGAAGGAGGGTGTATTGCATTAATGCAGCATTTTGGGGCATAGGGCAGAGATGTAAGCGTAGTGGATAAAAGGTTTTGGACTGAAACAAAGCATCTTAGTGATGCTTAACCAACACAGTTTTCTGTGCATAATATTTGGTGCAAAAGTGGATAGATAGCTTTTTATGAAAGAAAACCTTTGACCTCCCTCCTGCAGAAAGGTTTGTTTCGGGTCTCCTGGCTCCAGCAGCAGGAGCTCTGTGTTCCCTTGGTAAGTCTGAGAGAGTGGAGTGTAACTAAGCTAATGGAGACTGCCGCCTCCTACTGAGTTGCAACCTTAACAAAAGCCCAGTACATCTGCCTCAGCTGTGAGGCAGGATGACTGATTTATAATGCTAAAATGTAACAAATATTACAAATTGTCTGGCTTTTGTTAAGTCTGTAAGCTGGCAGCAGACCCCTCAGTGTGGTGTGGTGTTAAATGATACAAGCAGTGGTGCACATTCTCTGTTGTTTTACTACATTTAATCTAAGGACACAATATTTCAGCACATTTTTATTTTTATTTTACACTTAAGTGTCATTTTACTGTTCTGAATTAGACATGTTCACACATCTTTCACCATCAAACAATTTAGATTAAAACCATTACACCTTACCTGAGCGTTTCCTTTCAGTTGGTTCGATTAGGCCGACGAACAATCTGAATATTTCTCTCACACACATCTAGCCATCATGCTGATATTTGCTTTGCTTCCTCACTAACTCTGCTTTGGTTTTAGCTTACAGGCTTTCGACACATGCATTTCTAGAGCAGCCCAGGTTAACACCATCTAGCAGCCTCCAGCCCTCAACTCTGAGGAAAATATCAGGCAGTGATTAAGTGCTCACTTACTTTGGCCTCCTATTCCCTCTGTCATTAGTCAGAGGATAATATTGCATCCCAGCCATCAGCCATTCACTTTCTTTAGCAGAAGCCCTCCACACCCCCCTCAGCTGCAGTCTCATCTGAGGGATCAGCCTGAAGATTGATTCAGTCTTAGGTTTTATCCCAAAGATACTTCAATCATGAGTTCTCTCTCTCTCTCTCTCTCTCTCTCTCTCTCTCTCTCTCTCTCTCTCTCTCTCTCTCTCTCTCTCTCTCTCTCTCTCTCTCTCTCTCTCTCTCTCTCTCTCTCTCTCTCTCTGGAATCCTGAGCTGTGGTCGCTCACTTTGCTTTTAACCTGATTGGTATATCCTGAATCCAAAGTAGAAAGACATGTATGGGAAAGGAAGTACAGGTGTGTTTATGTGTGAGTGTGTGCGCCTCCATCTCCTCCCATTGGTCAACCCCCCCGACGACCCTCCGTCCTCTCCTCTCTCCCCTCTCCTCTTTGATTGTGAGGATGGTGTTGGATTCATACCTGCTCTCCCTCTGCTCTCTCCTGTACAGTGACTATATCATAGAAGAGAAAAATGCTGTTTTGCAGAAGAAAGAAAACGAGGGGTTTGGCTTCGTCCTGCGGGGAGCCAAAGGTGAGATACACACACACACACACACACTCTTAAACTCACACACACACTCTTAAACTCACACACACACACCTTTGCAAAGACATGCACATTGACTACCTAGCAGTTTTTAACGTGTGAGAGTTTAGAAGTGAGAAATAGTTTGTTGATCTGAGTCACTGAGTATGGCTCAGTCTGTAGTGTTACAGTGTGAGTCAACAACACGACCAGCTTCGGTCAACACTCGGCGTGTATACTCAGATGCACCCTGTGAGTGTGTGTATTTGTGTGTGTGTGTGTGTGTGAGCGTGTAGCCCCTTTGGTGGCGTCATCCTTGGCTGAGCTGTCGGCTAGCTGTCCCATCTGTTCCCCGCACATGGCGTTCAGCTTTAGTAGAGACACCCTCCTCCCCTCTTCCTCTCATCTTCACTCTGTCTGTCCTTGTTTTTGTTCATCTCTGCTCTCCTTCATATCCTTCCCAGCCATTACCCTATCAAAAATGATTCTACGCAAACCCTTTTATACCTTCCGCATTTAAAAACCCAGATCACCTCTCTACTCATCTCCATCACCACAAATTCATTTTACTCATGCACGTGCCAGCTCCCTGCTCACGCTGGTTACCATAGCAACCCCTCTCAGGCACCTTGCCTGGAGTCTGAGTGTGCTTTCCTGCTCCATCACTCACTACCATGGATCTTGGCTCACCCCGCTTTCTTTTACTCGCTCTGCCTTTTACTCCCCACTACCCTTAAACACACACACACACACTGCAGTTCACTTAGCGGCCCTCTGAGAACTCTCATGTGTCAGTGATTTAGTTGGATTCGTTCCAAGATTAAATGGAGTTCATAATGCCGCACTCACTTAACAAACTGCTTGTTGAACATCTTATAACACAGGCAGTTCAGGTTCTATGCATAACGTTTTTGTTTTGATGACCAAATGGTGTTTAGTGCATTAGTCCTAGCAGGGAGTGACCATCCCCGCCGCACAGAGAGGCTTGGCCTGAGAAGCCACTTCCTTTAGGAATGGATGACCCTTGGTTTGTTACATAATGCATTTCATCTAATCTGCATTCATAAATGGATGAGTTGCTAATAGTAATAGGGCTCATTCGCAATGGAGGACAGAAAGAAGTGTGTGTGTGTGTGTGTGTGTGTGTGTGTGTGTGTGTGTGTGTGTGTGTGTGTGTGTGTGTGTGTGTGTGTGTGTGTGTGTGTGTGTGTGTGTGTGTGTGTGTGTGTGTGTGTGTGTGTGTGTGTGTGTGTGTGTGTGTGTGTGTGTGTGTGTGTGTGTGTGTGTGTGTGTGTGTGTGTGTGTTTTAAGGCATGCATGCAGTTGTGCAGGTGTATGACTGTGTGATTGTATGCAAATATGCATCAGCATTATTGTTGAGGTGAAGCAGGAAACAGCAGTATATCCGCTCAGTATTCCTGCCTAATATAGAAATCTTTAGTCAAGTAATAGAACTAAAAGCAATGAAATATATATTAATTAAATCATTTTAGTAAAGCTAAAAGGGAAGCTTTGAAAACTGTGTAATTTCCTCCAAGGAAATTCAAACAGGGCAAACGTAATACGGCAGACAACATATTCCGAATATTACACACAGCATGTAATGCGTGTTCTGTTTGTGAGGTTGTTGTGGTCATTAGCAGTCTCATTTACATAAAAGAAAAATGAAATCAAAGGAAGCTACAGATTTCACTGAACCTTTCTGGGTTGGTTTTTCTCAGCTGAGACGCCCATCGAGGAGTTCACCCCCACCCCAGCGTTCCCCGCCCTTCAGTACCTGGAGTCTGTGGATGTGGAGGGAGTGGCCTGGAGGGCTGGTCTGAGGACAGGAGACTTCCTCATCGAGGTAATTAGGAAAAGCTCTTCCCTTTTCTACATCTGTGTCTTCCTCATTACTGAGCACACTGCTGATGACCTGCAGCAGAGGAGAAAAGCAAAGTGATTCTGGACAGTTTTATTGTGAATTTGTGGATATGCTGCAAAGTTCAATATTAATTATATATAAAGCTATATAAATCTTCCATGGCGTAATAAAGTAAAGTACATTTACTCAAGTAATGTACTCAAGTGCTACTTTATACTTTTACATCACTACATTTTGAAGGCAAATGTTGTACTTTTTATTGCATTACATTTGTTTTACATTTTTGGTTACTAGTTATTTTGCAGATTTAGGTTATTAATGCAAAATATAAAGTGACACAATATTATATTTTCTTATAGGTTAAGCCACCAAGTAATGTATAAAGTAATTCAAATAAACCCCACTTTTACCAAGTTTAACAGTGAAGTGACACATTAATGCACCAATAATTTTTAAAACATTAATTTAAAACAAATTAAAACTATATTGTGCTTCAAATACATAATGCATATTTTTACTTTTGGTACTTGAAGTATTTTTGTTATGCTTATACTTTTTTACTTTTAATTAAGTACAATTTTGAATACTGGACTGAATGCAGTACTGCTTCTTTTGAGTACTTATTCCACCTCTGAAAGCTTCTATTTATCTGTGCTTATTATGAAATACTGTTAAAAATGACTAGGCATGATTTGCAGAAAAGTTTTATCATGTGAAAGTAAACTTGAATACTTTAAAGGTTAAACTTGTGTTTGCATGTCTTGTCTTTGTGCGTTTCGTCCCAGGTGAACGGGGTGAATGTAGTGAAAGTGGGCCATAAGCAGGTGGTGTCCCTGATTCGGCAGGGGGGCAACCGGCTGCTGATGAAGGTGGTGTCCGTCACACGCAAGCCTGAGTCTGAGGAGGTCGTCCGCAAGAAAGGTAAAGACCTCTATGTTGAATCCACTTTAGATTAAACAGATAGTCAATTAAATATCTATCATGTAATTGTTCTTTCATGTGAAATGTCACATAAAGGCATGTATTTCCTGCTTCACAAATTCGCTTTTTGTAAATATTATTAAACATATCACTTAGTATGATAATGAACTTAATAACTGTAACGTAGTGTAGATATGTTAGTTGTTTTCATGTACGGGTGACTTGGGAAGATATGTGTGTTTTCTGTTGTCAAGGTGATTTCTGCAACGATTCACTGCTGTAAATTCATGTGGTTACCATGTCAACCATAGCTCGCCATTACTCAGCTCCCACACAGCCCTGGCAAAGTGACCTCAGGACTGAGTCCACAGCTATTGTGTGTGTGAGTGCGTGTGTGTGTGCGCGTGTGTGTGTGTGCGTGCGTGCGTGTGTGTGCGTGTGTGTGTGTGCGTGTGTGTGTGTGTGTGCGTGCGTGCGTGCGTGCGTGTGTGTGTGTGTGTGCGTGTGTGCGTGTGTGTGTGTGCGTGTGTGGTAGATGGTGCTGCATCTTTGTGATTGACCTAGTTTCATTGGGACAGTACGGTATCAACTCAATCCTGCCACTCAAGGTACTCGAGTGTTGTTCTTTTAGTGTGTCTCTCACTTTCTTTCCCTCTATTCAATTTCAGTAAGCTTTATTGGCATGATCGGCAGCTAAACAATATTGGTAAAGCATCAGGAATAATACAATTCATTAGTGAAATGAAAAAAATTAAATACAACTCATTAAGTAAACTTAAGTATGTCATTCAGTTCAAAACAATATCAAGAAACTCTCTTTCCTTCTTTTGCACTCATGTCCACTTAGTGCCTGTTTTTGGAGCTTCCAGTGCATGTCACTGTCTTTCCATCAGCAGATTGAATCCACTCAGTCTTCATTATTTATTCAAGTTTAACGTTTTTGGGACATCTTGGGAAATTTGCCTCGATTAGACAATCACGCTCAAATGTATGTCTGTTGGATCTGAGGCTTCAGCAAGCATCTGGTTAGCTGAGCTTTACCTGAAAGACTATGGAAATATCTTGTTTGTTTAATCCAGACTAAGTCCAAGGTATACAATTGTGTAGTTCTACTGGGAATTATGTGTCAAACTATTTATTGGTGCTTAGAGGTATAGTCAATCGTCGGAGACTCTGGGTGTTCACTCTCAGTTACTACTACTGACCATGAAATAATCTTCCACATATATGGGAGAATTGTCATTTTACAGGTTTTTGTATGGATGGAACAATCGATGATGTTAACCAATGAGCTTTAAAGCTGCTTTTAGCCAGATGTTCATATTGTTTTCCACTTTATTCCAGTCCTTATTCCAGTCCTTATTCTGAATTTAACTAAATAAATAATGATTCTCTCATGTTACCATAAGCAAGAAAACATTTACCAAAATGCCAATCATCTTCATATACATTGTTTTGCTTGCAAAATATTCAGGCTTTGTGGATTATTAGAATTATATGAAAATATGCATTCATGTGGACTAGCATTATTGGCGTCAGTAACTGAGTCCAAAGGGACTTGGCTTGCAGGCAGAGGGTTCAACTCCCAGAACAGACTTAGTACGGTACGTATTGTAGGCTGAAACACAGATAGAACTACATCTGTATACAAAATGGAGCATATGTATTCTTTCAGAGATGAGAACAAGAGCCTTCCCTCCTGTTTCAAACTTTTCCTCAAAGATTTCTTATTTGACCATCCTAAGCAGTTCTGAACACCCTCTCCAGCCGCACTGCTGTCCATCGGGACTCTGCCTATTGTGCCGCACCTTTGCAAAAAGGCAAGAGGCATGCTCTCACACATAGAAACTCGCAGGCAAACACTCAATACAAAACACACAATCTCTGCACCATGCGAGGCCTCACTACTGCCACCGTTGCCATGGTGACTACACTGCATGTTTGAATTAAGCATTACATTCCTGCAGAAGCATCTCGCTCTCCCTCTGACTCTGTTTCTCTCTCTTTCTCCGTCCTCCTCCATCTCCTCTGCTACTGTACCAGAGCGTGCAGACTGGTGACGAAAGAAGATGTTTGATACGGACTGTACCCAGGATGGCGTATGTTCACTAGATGTGCAGCTGCTGACGACAGCAGGATAGTTAGGCTCGAGTGGGACACAAGGCATTCGTTTGGATATAGAGATCTTTTGCTCTACAGTAGTGCATGCAAGTGTGAGCTGGTCGATCTCGGATAGAGTGAGCTGATCTAGTTCTGTCTGGGGTGTTGACAGGAAACTTGGGTTTGTTACAGCATGTATAGGCTGCTGCTGTGTGTGGCTTCATGATCTGTGTCCGACTGCATGGCATTACGTCGTTACTGCAGACTTAACATGCTTCAATACATGGCCACATTATTTTTGATTTGGTTAATTACAGTGTTCATTGTAACTTGATTTTAAAGCCTTTTATTGAAATCTGTAACTCTGTCCGTTGTATTTGGAGCTGATATTTGTTAGATGTGTTTTTTGAGTGGGACGATACCAGCCCAGCCGCCTTATGAGTTTAGAAGGTTTCGGGTGCTCCCATGGGATTTGGGGTATAAAGACTGCAGCGCATCAGTTTCTTTAGCTTTTGAATTGACTGTAATCGCTTCCCCACATGTCATCATGTCCTTCCTCAGGGAGTTTTCTCAGTGTATCTGCAAGTGGTCCCGCGTGTGGGAGGATATGCATGTGTGTGTCTTTGCGTTTCTGTCTGATACTCTCCTGCAACATTTCAGACAGGCAGCATATTAAAAGTAAGATGGACGACTTTCTCCCTCCCCTTGCCACACTTCTTTTACTCTTTCTGCCTATTGTGGCGTACATATTCTGTTGTTCTCTTTCTAATGGGAGGATTCAGAAAGCTAGGGCTGTTTCAGACTGGACTCAGTTGTACATGTACTGCCTCTGGGCTCCCCAACAGAGAGGGATTCTTGCAGCACACAGACTAGAATACTGAAAGTCTTGGAGACAGACTGAAAAATTCATAAGCCACCGGATCAACAGAGAGCAAAGCATGAAGAAGTCGGGATCCAAATGTAACCCGAACAAGGTCGTCGTTAAATGGGGGCCGTCCAGTTCATCTGAATTTAACCAGATCAAATCAGTGAAGACGGGATGGGCTAGCCGTCTGGGAGATGCCAGGAGGGCACTGAGCCGCAAATCCAAAGGATCTTCTTCCCCTTCAACTTCATCCTCAACACCATGCCTTTTCTCCACAGCTCCCCCGCCACCCAAGAGAGCCCCCAGCACCACCCTGACGCTGCGCTCTAAGTCCATGACCGCTGAGCTGGAAGAACTGGGTGAGAAAGCTGGCATGCCAACTCCAAACCCTAGACTTCCTTTTTCTGTCACATTTCTGCTTTCCCTTTTGTTAATGAGCTCGGTGTGTCTCCTGACTTTTTGAATAGTCACTTGTGTTGGCTTGTTCTTTCCCTCCTCTGCTGACGCTATCTTTTTCCCACCAAGCTTCTGCTCGGAGGAGAAGAGGAGGTGAGTCTGAATTGACACCTCTCTGAAAGTCATAACGATAATTCCTCACTGCTGTGTCAATTACAGCAGTGTTGATTTAGAGCTGAAGAGCAGAACACTTGCAATATGTGGACTCTCTTTCTCCCCTTCTTTTCTGATTTCCTCTTTCTCTATCTCTTTTAATTCGTAGAACTCACTCCCTAGTGGTCTAACACAGTGAACTTTTAATTTGGGATGGAGCAGTGATTTAATACCATAGACATGGAGCATGACCTCACTTTGTAGTTCATAGCAACATTTTGGAGATGCCTTTTTAATCACACTTTGTACTCTCTACTGTGTTTGCAATGTCAGAATTGATGACACAATATTTCCACAGTCTTATGTCTCAGCATTTAGTTCTGCCTCATTTGCTTCTCAACAGAGAGACTAGATGAGATGTTGGCATCACAGGAGTCTATCTTGCGTTCTCAGCCCTCAGAGGCAGATTACAGAGCAGCTACTGTCAAACAAAGGCCTACCAGCAGGAGAATTACACCAGCAGAGATCAGTGTGAGTGCACCTACACAAAGCACACTGGCAGACAGCATATGCCACAATGTTGGCATACATGAATGAATTAAGGCTCATGTATAATTGACTCAAAAACACATGTGCTACACAGCATTTTAGAGGCATTCAATATCTGTTTCTTAACTGCAGTCACTGTTTGAGAGACAAGGGATGACTCTACATGGAGGTCTGCAACCCGGCATTGAGAGAGGTCACATACCGCTACCCAAGGGGATGTCCAGGACCAAGTCTTTTGGTAAAACAATCACCCATCCTGTACATATTCAAATAAGGTGAATGATAGTGCATCTTATGTGCAGTATGCTTACAGGTTTTAATTGGCATAAAGGATATAAGATAGGGAAGATTTATTTTCCCATAAAATGGCATACTTCACCCAGAAAGAAAAGCATGTAGGCAGTTTTAATTTAGCTTAACAAATGCTAACATGGTTGCAAATACTTAATTACATTGCATTGCATGTTCAGAATGTGCTTAGATATTCACAGACACGAATTTGCAGAGCAGATTTTCAAGTGCAAAGCCTATTTCATTAATACGTTATTTATCATTTAAAAATGTTCCCTGTTCTCTAGTACATTCATTGAAGGACTATTCAATTAGTTAATTGCCAAATAAATCAAAAATAGTGAGTTATACGTTTTACATATTAGGGAGGGCTCTTCTTCTCATCTCTGAAAAAATAAATATGCTCCATTTTGTCTACAGATGTTGCGCTGTCTGTGTTTCAGCCTACACTCCGCACTAAGTCTGTTCTGGGAGTTGAACCTTATATTGTATAGCTGTCTTTGAGACAACGAATACATTATAAATATGTGGGAACATATTTTCAGATGGATGCAATGCAGTGAATTTGTCAGCAAGCAGCTGTGGACCTGCTAGGTTGGTTTGAAATGTTCGTATTTCCTGAGAAGATCTGTGCTCTCCTCTCCCTCACCAGGTGCCACTGAGGAGGATCGGCTGTCGGCCCTTGCAGCCGAACACAGGTTTCCCCGCAGTTCCTCTATGACAGACAGCCTCCGAGAACACTCTCAGCCCCATCCCATCCCTCCACCTCCACAAACTGCACCTCCTCCTCCTCCCTATTACCTGGACACTGGTCCTCCCCCAGCCTTTTGTCCCCCTCCTCCCCCGTCTAGGACCCACAGTCAGGGCCATGAGCCTGGAGGACGCTCCAGCTTCAAGCCTTCATCCTTGGATCTGCCGTACGAGGCCGCTCAGCGACAGGCCACACACTTAGAGAGACAGAAGAAAGCGCGCTCCATGATCATCCTTCAGGACTCTTCACATCTACCTGTAGAACCGACAGAAATCCCCCGTCCTTCTGCTGCTACTCCACCTGAGCGAATCAAAAGGAAGGGTCGGGTTATTGACAACCCTTATGCCAATGTGGGTCAATTTAGTATTGGACTGTTCACACCCACCAAGCCCCAGAGGAAGAAAAGTCCACTGGTGAAACAGCTACAGGTAGGTGACATTTCCAGGATGGTCATCTGCTAGTTTTATACATTAGTTACGAAGACTTTCTAACATGCTGTTTTTTTATGTTGCCTTACTGCAGGTGGAAGATGCACAAGAAAAAGCCAGTTTGGCCTTAGCTGCTGCCCACTCCCGAGAAAGCTCTCCCTCAGGACGACACTCACACACCCATGGACACACACACACCAGCCGTGCAGACTACTACCAGCAGCAGCTGATGGCTGAGCGAGAGCGTCTGCGTGCCCAGGGAGAGATGATGTTTCAGGGGAAGGGTCCCTTCGCCGCTGCTATAGCTGGAGCAGTGAAAGATCGTGAGCGTCGTCTAGAAGAACGGAGAAAATCCACTGTCTTCCTTTCCGTTGGGACTATGGAGGGGGCGTCCTTAGTCAGCTCTGACTCCCCCTCTCTGACTCAGTCTCACTCCATCGATGAACGGATGCTCACCCGAGAGCTGGGACAGCTGCCTCCCCCTGCCTTGGCCCTGAGCCCCTCACCTAGTGGGACCACCTTTATCCATCCGCTCACAGGAAAACCCCTGGACCCTAACTCTCCACTGGCTCTTGCGCTGGCCGCAAGGGAGAGAGCACTGACCTCCCAGAGCCCGACGGGCAGCCCTGAGCCGAGGACTAAACAGGATCGAGCAGGCCATGGCGTGTTGTTCATGGACCCTCAGACCAAAGAGTCTCCACATGGGGAAGGGGCTACCACAACTCCCCCTTTTTCACCTAAAAGCGCCAAGGCAGGGGGGTATGGAGTTGTTTCCTCCCCGACATCTATTTTAGTTCCCCAGCCCACCAAACCACAGTGGGTCACATCACAGTCACCGGTATCTTTCCGGCAGGAGATGGAGGCCAGAGTAGAGGAGAGGAAGGAGGAGAAGAGACTTGAGGATCAAAAGAGTATGTTGATCAGTATTATGGACACGTCACAGCAGAAAACAGCAGGGCTTATTATGGTCCATGCTACCAGTAACGGCCAGTCAGTCGGGGTAGATCCACACCTAGAACAGACACCTGCCCCCACGTCCACAGAGCCCAGCAAGTCTCTAAGTCCAAGGGCTAAATCCCCCAGCCCCTCTACCTCGCAGCCCCAGGCCCAGCTCCAGGCCCAGCCTCACACTCAGCGTCCCGCCAGTCCAGCGCAGGACAAGAGTCTGGCTCAGGGAAGCTCCGAGGAGGACGTGGACCCCTACACCGTGACCCTGCCTCCTGCAATGTTGTCCTCCAGCGATGAGGAAACAAGAGAAGAGCTTCGTCACATTGGAGTTCTTCCACCACCCGATGAGTTCGCTAATGGCATGCAGGCACAGGGGACGCCAACTCTACCTGCCTCCTCTCCCACCACGCCTACAACACCAACACCCCAAACTCTGTCATCCCCAAAAACTCCAACTGTGACGCCCACCCAGCCTCAGCCTCCCCAGCTGGCACCTCCACCCAGTGCAGCAGCTGTCTCAGGGAAGCCCTCTGACCCTCTGGAGCCCCCACCGGTGGGTCAGTCCGGCTCTGCGGCTGACTCAGGTGTGGAGGAGGCCGACACGCGCAGCTCCAGTGACAGAGAGCGAGACCTCCATCTCGAGACCACCAGCACCGTCTCCACAGTTTCCAGCATGTCCACCCTGTCCTCAGAGAGCGGCGAGCCTGCAGACACACACACCACGCACACCTCCTATGCCGAAGGGCTGACTTTTGTGCTCGACAAGCCGCCAGTGCCTCCTAAGCCCCGACTCAAGTCCCAGATAGGAGGCAGTAAAGGCCCCGTCACCTTCAGGGACCCTCTGCTGAAGCAGAGCTCCGACAGCGAGCTGCTCTCACAACAACAGGCTGCTGCCCTGGCTGCTGTTGCTGCAGGCGGAGCTGGGCTGCCCTTCGGCGGCTCGGCCTCAGTGACAGGACTCGGCCCCACCAAGCCGCGCTACCTCTTCCAGCGGAGGTCCAAGCTGTGGGGGGACCCAGTGGAGCCTCGTGGGCCAGGGGTGGGGCTAGGTATTGGGAGTTTGGGAAATCTAGGCGGGCTGGGATTGGGACTTGGTGTAGATGATGGAGCAAAACCTTCTGTTATGGGAGAGCTCAGTTCACGACTACAGCAGCTAAATAAAGACACTAGGTCACTGGGAGAGGAGCCGCTGGGAGCATCACTTGACCCGGGGAGAAAGTCACCTGTGACAGGTGCCAGGTAAGAGAGAAAGGTGTCAAATGTACTGCAAAAATGACTGAATTTCACAATGAGCCACAAAACAAATGGTTCCTTTTAAAGCAATGGTTTCAAGAGTATTTATATCGTTTATCGTGGTGGCAGAGACAGAGAGAGTGAGCAATCTCAAGCAATTCCCCTGCCCAGCATGAATTTAATTATTACAGTAAGTGAGTCTAAATAATATGAAATAGTCTACATGGCACACACTGAGTTTATATTATTTTCTCCTGTTTATCAACATTTATTTAGCTCTTTATTTAGAGAAAATATACTTTATGGACAACTACTCTTGGTTGTCTATTTTTTGCTTAAATCTGATTGCATTTCTCTGTAAAAAGGGACACCTAGAGGCTGAATCAAAGACAGCGGCTGTTCTATTTGTAGGCATAATAGGGTTTTACTTACAATTGGAAACATGCAAACTATCCATATAAAGACCAGTCCACTGTTATAGGATGCTGAAATGAGATCAGAGGTCACCAGCATTGCTGGCATTAGCTACCTTTAAACTGTTCATGTAAAAACGTTATTACTACAGTGCGTGCTGTACCTTTCTATGGGTCATACATTCTGTTCTAATATAAATTAAAAGCAAATCTAAAGCATAGTAAAGAGGCATATACAAACGTGCTTCTCACACAGTGACACTAGGTTAGGTCTTTGAAGCATCTGAAGCACAGTGCTGTTTGTGTCTGTTATCTGTGGGTTTCCTGTTTTCACACCATACCTGAAGGTACAATTAAGACCTTTATATTCCTGCAGATGTGAGGACACCGAAGAGAGTAAACCTTAAGGTTATAGCTACTAGGGTAAACTTGAGCTTTTTTATATATTTTTTCCTAACAAGCCTATCAACTAATCCCATTTAAGATAACAAGCCTCTTATTCATTTTATTGTATGTATTTTGTTACCTTGTTTGCATCACCTACATTTATACAATTACATAATCTTTATACTAGGAATATAAAAGATTTGGATATAGTTCTGTTTTTCCAAGACAAGGCATTGGTTCTAGAGACCTTCATTACTACAATCGATGCCTCCGCCCTTGGGTCTAAATTGCTTCTTGTTTCTATAGTTACAGTTTTACTCCTTGGCCTTCTGATAAATGATCTCGTCTGTTAAATACAAACAGTAGTCAGTAAGTATATAGTAGTGTTTCTGTGTGTGTTTTTGAGTGTAAGTGTGTTTGTGTGTGTGTGGTAGTAGTAGTTTAGAAGAAGTAGATTATCTGTGGGTGCAAACAAGGTAACTTGGAGGCTTGGAGGAGGCATGCACTTCCTGAAAGTCTCTCCTCATCTCACACACACTCTGTTGGGTTCTAACCTTTGCACCTGCTAGTAGCTACCCTTCCTGCTATTCCTCAAGCTTTCCCCAAAGTCCTTGATCAAAAAATACATAATACATCCTTATATATATCACTGATATACTTTTGATAAGATTAAGAAATAGAGTTTCCTTCTTATCATCAGCCCCTCATCCAGTAACATCAGTGATAACCTCAAAGACTTAAGGATGTATTTTCAGAAGTATTTGACCAAGACTGAACTATAATGGTGTGTCACAGTGTAACCATCCCGTCATGGCATTAACAGCCGTGTTATTGTCGTGACGACTACCCAACAATGCCCTGACCTTGTCAAAAGTTCATAGGTACCACAGGGAGTAACTGTCAGATGCATGTCTCTTTTGTTCTGTTCAGGATTTGGCTACATTTTGATTGACCATCGTAGCTTTCAAATATCTCAGGAGTTTGTAGGCACTCTCCAGATGCAGTGGATTTGTTCCAGCCCTGCTCCTTTCCTTTCATCTTCTGTCCTTATTCCAGTTCATATAAGTTAGGAGGGTCGAAAATATTTCTCTCATGTTCACTTTTTCTTCACTCCAGTTTTAGAAAAAAAAATATATTTGAAGATGTTAAAACTCTTTCGCAGCCTTCTCCTCGTGTTACCATTGTTATAAGGAGCGGTCTAACTTTACACAAACTGAAACCAAAGTGCTTCATATCGAGCTGTCAACTGAATTTGTGACATGGCTACAACAAAGGAAGTACTTTTGATAATTGATGAGTATAGGGCTGGGAGTATTTGTCCTGTATTCAGACCATCAGTTGTACCCTCCCTTACCACTATACTACTATTACTAGTATTAGTAATAGTAGTCTTTTGCCAAATAAGTTGACAGTACCTCTAAATTAAAACATCATGATCCCTGGAAGGAACAGGTGACCGGGATATCAAATACAGCGCATCATGTGACTCAACAATGACTTGGCATATCCTCCCGTGAGATTATGCAATCACATTTATCCCCACCACATCGGCACCACAGCTGATTGCCTTCAGCTGTGACAAAGATGATCATGCACACCATTATTTCTCTCTCTATTTCTCTCTCTCTCTATCTCTCTGTCTCACTCTGAGTTTGTTCCCCTCACCCCCCCAGCACCGTTATGTAATATTACTCCATCACTCACCCAATCCACTTTGTGCCCATTTAAACCCCTTCAAACCCCCCATGCTGCTGTATTGTGTTTCTGTTGTATCCACCTCGTTCACATGCTGTGTATCATAGGTGGTTTAGAAACCTGTGGTTCTCATTTTATTTCATTTGTGATCTTTGGTTTTCTGTTCTTCTCTGTTAATGTAATTTGCATAACTTTGTTTTGTGTTTCAGTGATTGTGTTGAGGATGGCCATGGTCCCTGAATGTCTTGCTTTTTGGACATTGTAGGTTTTTCAAAGTAAAACAGAATAGAATACATATACCATTTTATTTGTGATTTGCATTCCTTGATTAGAATCCCAAAACCCCTTAAAAACTCACATGTAAATATACATTTGAAATTGCACAACACATGTATTTATGTGTGTTTTTTTAATTGTTCAAATATGTGGACTACATCAAGCAACAACAAAAGTCAAGGAACATGTGCCGGCCTTTTATCTGTTGGTTTGTTTTCCTTTTTTTGTGCAGTGTTTGATATGTGAATAGTGTGCTCATTTCTCTCTCATGCAGCCCACTGGTCAGACCTCTCAGTGCAGAAGCCTACTCTGCTGTCTTTGTCATGCTCATACATCAATAACACCATCACATGCACACACACATACATGTATTCACTGCAACATACAGCCACATGCACACAGGGCGTGTGAAAGAAAGCAGAGTGGGCTGAAGCAGACTAAACGTCTGGTTGGCAGGCTGCGTCTCATGGAGTGATGCTAACATTCTCTCCCATTGCTCTCTCTCTGCTCACCTTGCATGCTCCGCCCTGCTGCTCTGATCTGATTGGTCTAGAACTGACTGTGCGCCCAGGAGGGCGGGACGACTGTGTAAGTGCGCATGGAGCTCATCTCATATCCGTCGGTTCCCTGTAGTCTGATCATTTTTCCAGCCCTTGCGCTGTCTAGCTACCTTCCATTACACTCTTTAGTCCACATCAAAGTTTCCAAACACATGCAATGGAGGGAAATCATTGGCCACACCTGTACATAAGACACTCACTAACATGCATGCATCAAACACACATCATTGCACCAACTCTTACACATGTAGGCCTCTTCTTTCTGCTTCTCCCTGCTTGCACCAAGCCAGACAAAACGTTCACATTGGCCTTTATCCACCCCTCTTCTCCTTACTGACCATCTTTTCCTCCATTAGACCTGTAGTATACTAATCAGCCACTATGACACTGTTTCACATCTTTATACTATTATTTCTTCAGAAGAGGGTCAGGGGTAAAAGGTACATAAACAAGCATTTATTGTTCTTGTGCAAGATGCTGCTGTTTCAGAATGGATGGTATGGATAAGACTGGTTTGGTGGATCGTGGAGATTCCCCGAAATGTTTTACTAATGGCATTGAATGAAGTGTCGCTGCAGTCAGAGTTAATAAGTATTTGTTGCATTAAACAATGCTAAGCTTTGGGAAAATATGCTGCTTTGTGTACATTCACGTGTCCTTTAACAGATGTGACACATCAGCTCTGTTTGCTTTAACAACTTTGTCTCATGAAAGTTTAAAAAAAAGCAAATGTACTGTTTGTAATGTGCAACTGCCAACTTTGTTCAAATGTAGGCGTGTGTATGTGTCTGTTTGTGCGTGTGTGCTCATAATTCCAGTGCTTCAGGTTAGTGCCTTCTGCAGTTTCCACGTAAAACACTAAATCTGTGTTATACTGTTATCTAACTCTAAGCATCTTTCTGCTTGTGGGTCACAGTGATTCCTTCAGAGAAGCATATGGTCTGCCTTGACAGGAAACACCTTTTGATTACGTTCATTAGAGCAAAAAGGCTTGCAGTAACGGTTAGATGTAGGGTGGGTGAGAGGGAAAATATAGTGCCATCTTTTTTCTTAATAAATGCCATATATTCCCATATAAAATGAATATATAACTTGACATAAAGATCCTTTGTGACTTCTTTACGATTGAGTAGTAATAGATATTTTTTTCAAAGCTGTGAATGATCTCATTACCAATGAGAGCAGTGTGCTGCTTTATAATGCTGTGCTGTGAGACTAGCTTGCTTTGTCTAACAGTCCTGAAGCTTACACTAACTTATACTTTAGAGGAACTTACAGCGGTTAATACACATAACCAAAGCTATGTCTCCTTTTCTTCTTCTTTACTTTCAGTTTGTTAATCTTCATCTCCTCTGTTAACATCCTTACACCCTGTGTCTGTGTGTCTCCAGACTTTTCAGCAGCCTAGGCGAGCTCCACACCATTTCTCAGAGAAGTTATGGCACCACCTTCACCATCCGCCCTGGCAGCCGTTACCCTGTCACCCGACGCAGCCCCGGTTCAGGCTCCCCTGATCGGGGTGACCCATTCGGACGATACTCAGGCTTCGGCCTACCGACCTCACCGACTACACCCCCACAAACCATCCTCAAATCCTCCAGCCTCAGCCTACCCCAGGAGCCTAAAGAGGTCCGCTTTGTGATGAGGAGCTCCAGCGCCCATTCCCATTCCCGCTCTCGCTCCCCGTCCCCATCCCCCTCCCATTCTCCCGGGCTAGGGTCACCACTTTTAGCCCTCCGGCCCTTTCACCAGAAACCCCTCCACCTCTGGAATAAGTATGACGTTGGAGACTGGCTGGAGAGCATCAATCTGGGAGAGCACAGAGCAGGCTTTCAGGAACACGAGATCGAAGGCTCTCACCTCCCAGCTCTGACCAAGGATGACTTTGCAGAGCTGGGAGTGACGAGAGTGGGACACCGCATGAACATCGAACGGGCGCTAAAGATGCTGCTGGAGAGCTGACCCCTGCCCTGAGACCCCGCAACAGATGGAGAGAGAGAGATAGAACGGATAGAGTTGATGAAAGAGAAAAGATAGGGATCACTCCTTTTATTCTGGCTGCTTTTATGTTCTGCATCACAAATGTTTACCTTAGCGACACCGTTATGTTCCTGTCTGCATTAACACCCTGCACTTGGCACTGCACTGAAGAGGAGGAGTCATTCGTCACCCTCTACTTGCCATAGTGTCTGCCCGCCTCTTTGCCTGCAGCCAATTAGATCAGACCTCAAAACAAACTCTGGACTTTCTTTGCCGAGGAGAATCGCATGAGCTCCAATTAAAACATTTGATTTGTGAAAGCTTCAGTTGGTCCCTCAGTAACACCCACCCTTTCTCTCACTATTCCCTTCTCGTCTCTACCTCTATCCCCCCCATCTATTAGGCCTCTGACAGACTTCTGCAGTTTGAGTAAAAGAGGAAGAAGAATTGTGTTCCCAACAGAAAGCTCAGTTGCCTTTCAAAATATTTATACAGAGATCAACAATGATGAACAGAGGACTATGGACATGAAACGGTGCGTCTTCTCTACACCTACTGTTGTTTTTAAACCGAAGACTTTGGAGCCCAGAGGTGGAGCTCCACCCAGTAAACCACGGGAGAACACCCCTCCGCCTTGGTACTGTGTTATCTATTATATTTGGAGAATGTTTAACCAACACTCGTGGCTTTTTTCATAATCAATTTTTTGGTTTTCCAAAGGGAATATTATATAAATATATATATAGGTATTATATAATATATATGTATCTAAATATAGCTTTCAAAAGAAAAGACAATGTTGCAAAGAGGTAATGTAATAAATTAATCTGCGCCTGTTTTTGGTTTTTAGTATAGAAGGCAGAGAGAAACCTTAAAACGTATTCCACCGGTAGCTTACTCATTTCTACCAATTATATACATATATATAAATATTAAAATATATATTTGAAATTTTAAAAAAAAGTATATAGATATGGAAATGAATTTTTTGTCATAGGTATACAACTTTCTTTATGGTCACCCTTTCTTGAACCGTAGCATGACGAGTTGCATCATGTCTTGGACAGAGAGTTTGATGTTTGTTTTTATTTTCTTACGGTCTTCCTTCTTACTAAAGGGCATCCCGTAATGTGAGGCTGAGACCCCCAGGGGCCACCCATCCCTACGGCTTCAGCTACAGACCCCACTGAGCTTATTCAGATCCTGCTTTGGACCATCTTATGAGACAGCTAACTGGTAAAAGGGGCTCTTCGTGTTTTGCCCGTTTATCACTCAGGGATGGAAGTTTGGGGCACTAGCATGGAGAGATTGTCAGCTGTTGTTTTAATAATACCCATTTAATTCTACCTGTGAGGACAATTGAACACCACCACAGTCTGAAAAATGTTAGACTGCGTTAAAATTTCCATCCCTGTGACCCCTGATGTCTTCAGAGCAGGCTGCACATGGTCTACTATACAGTCGTGGAGGAAGGAAACTCTGGGATGTTTCTCATCACCAGAAGAGAGGAAATCTCTTTCAGATTTTAAGAAGGAAACTACTACCAGGAAACCAAGTGTGTGAACCTGGCCAAATTAAGCTTAAAGTGTTAAAATCAAGGTAATCTCTTACTTAAAACCAACTGTTACCTGGAATATAACTAACAACGTGTGGCTTAATGAGCTAGACATAGTGTGTGACCTTCTGAAATGCCAGCGCAGGAATGTGTGTGTAGTTTATCAGGCTGTGTGGATGGGGATGCCTCTGTAAGGTCTTAAAGAAAATTCAGCATTTTACAACCTGACAGTGTCTTGCAACATTGCTGCTTTCCTCTATCTCTGCAAGTGAGTAAAGTATTATCATAAACCGTGGCAGCAACAACTCTACAAATAAGACCCAGGTTGTAAAAAAGACCAATGAATTTTTCTTTAACAATACAAAATCTACAATTGTACTCATGAGTAGCTTCTGCTGGCAGTGAGAAACAGTGAGTTTTATTCACGCAACAAAAAGCATTTTATCCATAGCTTTAGGCGGCCAGGTGAGAGACCTCCGTGCATCAGCAGCATCCAGTCAGCGCGCCAAGGCACTTTCACTTGGCAAGAGGTCGTGTGCATCTTTTTTCTTCTTTTGTCATTTTCTGCTGTTTATCAGTTTGTAAAACGGGTGGTGAATATAATGTTGTACCTGGGTTGTAGGAATAGCACTCACTGCCTCACTGTGACCTCACTGATTATTTTTACTCCGGTGTTACACTATGTCCTCTGACTCATTTGGACTTTTTGTGTTAATTGTTCTTTTTCTAATTTATTTTTCTTTCTTTGATGATTTGTTACCCTCGGACACTGTGGGTAGATTTTGTAGCGTGTGGAACATGATACTTTAATCTTTCACTCATTAGAATTTTAGAGTGACAGAAAAAAGACAGAAAAAACGAATATCCTGTCCATTCTAAGCATACTTATTACACTTGTAAAAATGAACAAAAAATGTCTTTTTTTTAAATCACAAGCAATGTATATATGATAGATTTCATATAAATTTTTGAAAAACAAAAGTATATAGATCTATATATGAATGTTTGGCATATATGCATAGTTAACCACCTGTGGAAAAGGTGAGCAGATTTTATTCTTTCTATGAACTCTTAAAACTTTTGAACTCTGAACTATGAACTAGGGGATGATTTGCACAAAACAAGGTGACAAGGTGCTAACATAAAAGCCACCCATCGTCCAAGTGCATGCGTGCATCTGGATTCCCTGAAACTCTGTGTGGTTGTTCCTCTCCACCATGTGTGTACGACTGTGTGTGCGAATGTTTGTTTCCATTTGTGTGTGAATTTGTTTGAGAGAGACGATGATGAGGATGCCTGTGACAGTGAGAGTGTACGGATGATTGTTAGGGTTTACATCTTTGGCGCTAGTCCACTTTAGCCTTACTGTATTACCATCAGAGATTCCCGGCAGTGGCTGTGTCACACAAACACGCACATTAACAACACACACATATAGAAATACACACATACATTCATCTTCTACAGATTGACCCTCATTGTTCTGCATTCTTGTGTTGTACTGAGTGAAGTCTTCAGAAAGTGGACTGCTCTGCCAATAGGGAGAGACAGACGGATGGACAGACGGACAGATTACCACAGGGTTTGGAAGGAAACCATCGAGACATTTTGTATTGCAAGACGACTTTAAGTCCCCCTGTGACTGTAGGTACAGCTTATGCAGTGTCACTGTTTCGTACACACCTTCCCAGATGGCGTCTGCGCTCCTTACCCTCCACTCTGTCCGGCAGCACTCCTTTTTCCTTTTTCAGACCTTCAGTTTCTGAGTTTTGGATATGAGGTGATCCAGTGAGAAACAAACACAAAGGAAAAATGTGCCAAAAAATAACTTTCAACTGTATATTTGTCTTTGCTTTAGGACTATCTATAGTTACAGCATTCTTGAGCCGTTAGACTCAATAATATGGTGCCATCTCCTGGAAATCTTGAGAACTACAGACATTTGTTAGATCCTTCTGTATTTCCTACAGGTGGAAATACAGTCACTGTTATTATTTTGTAAAGAAGCAGGCTATTGTTTATATTAATATACATACATATATATATATAATAGCCTGTGTATATCTACCTGTGAGCTTTGCATTAACATTTCTATTTACATTTTGAGACAAAGTATCACAATTGATTTTACTGTGACAGAGCTTATTATCCAGTTTGCCGTACTGTTCCCATATAAAGAGAAACACTTGAAAGGTGAATGTGTACAGTCTGGACGCACACAAGCTGGCCTGGTCATAAGAAACTGTAATGAAGACCCGGTCAGATGGTAGTGGAAGTGCACCCCAAATGCAACGTGTAACAGACTTACACATGAAAAGGTGAAATAAGTTCAGTGAAAGGTTATCTTTGTCTTGTTTTCTAATCAACAAAGCACAATCTAAATAGTGTAGGGGGAGCAGTGTAACCTTTTTAAAAACCCACTGGGGTCCGGTCACCCGCTGGAACCAGTGATCTTATCGTCAGAGGGGTTTTTCTTTCATTGTTGGTTTTCTCCTTGTTTGCACTGTGAAGTTTAGAATGGTGGATGTATCACTGCAACGCCTCAGCCTTGTCTCACAGGTGAACTTCCCCTTTCAGCGTCCGATGAGCAGGCAAACCTTTCTCCGAGCGACCTCTAGACACTTCTAAGCATTAGAAATCCCCTCTCCATTTTAATACCTGAAAGCGAAATAAAAGTGAACCAGAAGCTACCTAGTGTTCCTCATCCAAACAGATAAGGGTGATAGTGAAGGTTGAGGCAAGATCTGAGATGTTGCCCAGGATATCTCCACCACAGAGATATATGTTTGTTATATTATGTAATAAATTTATAATTAAAACATGAACTGCATCAAAGTTTTTGTTCCTGCTTAATTCAGTGTCGTTGTAGTACAAGTATACGCCAGTGTGATTTATTATGCCACAGTCAAATATCAATACAAAATGTATAGACATGATTCCTTTGTACAGCATATAGAAATAATTGAACACATTGAGGGTCAGGTTCTGCAAGAAAAATGTGTTTTATGTTCTTTGTGGTAACATTCCTGCTAATATGAATGAGTGCTGCCTTCACAAATCCATCAGAGAGGACACGGCTGGCTGAGCATTTCACGAGAGATGAATGCAACTGCTGTCTACTCACGTACGGCTGGCTGTTGCATTTTATAATATGCTGAAATTCACGACTTAATGCCCACTTCTGGACCACAGCAAGTCAGAAAGAGACACGGGATAACAATTGGGTTACATGGTACATTAAGTTTTCATTTAAAAGTGTAGTGAAAACAGACTTTACATCCTAAAACTAATGCAACAAAAGCAGCCATCTGAGGCTGCTCACTGCTGGCACTGCACACAACGAAACACACACACATCGAGAACAGCAGCAAATCTGAATCATAATCACACGTTCTCTTTGATCTGTGAGACAGTTTCCAATGCTTCACATTCTTATTACAAATTAAAATACATTCAGCCTCATTGTAGAATTGTTCATTAGTATTGTAGTAGATACAAAGTATGAATGACAAGTTTAAAACAGCAGCTGAATAAACTTGGTAAACAACACAATTCCTAATTATTCCACCAGGTTTATTTCCCTGCCAATGTCACTGGACAGATGGAGAGCAGTGACTGAAAACCTGACTAAAAACTCCAACCTCCAGTGATAGAGTTAGAAAACATAGGTATCAAAGTAGACAACGAATGTGACATAAGGACAAACAATGTGCCAGTAGAGGCTAGAGGTTTAGGAGGATCCGTAAACGTTGGTCACTCCAACTCAGGACTTTCTGTTTTCAATCCAACCTCATCTGCTTCGGGATCTTCCTTCTCCTCCAGGTCAAAGTTCTATAAGAAAAGTGCAGCAAATGACATCGATATGAAAGTGTTTTCAGACAAACGAAAAAGTAGTTAAAAAAAGTTAGTTTTGTTGGAGCTCACAAATAGGTTTGGAATAAGAACATCTGAGAATTAAAACATTTTACACTAATTATTTTTGTTTTTTTAGAGCACACTGCATTGTCAATTCTTGCAATTTACATCTTTCAGTTAGGTATATATAAAACTACTCGGATTGTTTTTTTTTTATTTAGAGGGATGTACCTCTAATTCCTGCAACACTTCATCCATGAAGTCGCTGGGGTTTTGCTTGTACTCCACTGCTCTCGTGATCATCTCTCTGAACATCTGTTGGGACAGTTACAGTCAGAAAAATAACACAAATGGGTTCAACTGTATGGGCAATTCATAAAAGGTGTGGTATCAAGACAAGCAGTTAACTGTAAAACTGCTGATGTGATTGAAATGCATTACAAAATGACCCTGGGGATGACTGACATGAACACTGGAAGAGAATAAGAAGTGCAAACCTTAACTACATTCGTCCCATCAGCCGCAGATACAAAGTAAAATGGGATTCCTTGCTTCTTCCCAAAGTTAAAGCTTCTCTGTGTCACCTTCAAATCCGCTGAAAATACAAAAAAACAAACATGTTCACAACTATAATTATAAATTGAATGTGTAATCAATCAAAGGATAGTCAGAGTAATGTAGACAAAGTGTGCAAACTAATAAAAACATGTTTATTTATCCTAATTACATTAAAGGAGAAGATTGGAGGTTTTTAAGTGTTTTTTTTTTTAAGGTAACTATCCATATTAAACTTACAGTAGAAGTGTGTTTTTGGTCAAACATAGATGGATAAAAGAGTTGAATACTCTTCGTGATGTGTGTCAGTACCAGACTTACCATCAATTTTGTTAGCCACCACACAACAGGGTATCTCCGGTCTGAACTCTCTCAGCTCCTTATACCAGTTGGCCAGATTCTTATAAGTGATCTTCCTTTGAACATCAAAAACCTAAGAGAAAGAAGACAGGGTTAACAAAGGAGTGCATCTTTGAAGACAGAGACAGTTTTGCATTCCAGCATGATTGCAAGTCCTTGTTGACTTATCTGTGAGGGAAACACCATCTGCATCTTAAGAGGTGGAACTTAACAAGAATGCAACATGTTATTTTATCACTGCCTCTCCACAGTGTTGTGAGGGCCAAATTAGAGGGCCATATTATGTATTTGTCACTTTTCTGAATTCGTTTAATAGTTACTTGATATTCTACCTCCCCTAAAATGCCTGTCAGGGAGCCACAAAGTGCAGGCTAGATGAATATTGAAAAGCACCGGAAACTAAGCGTGTGTTTTACCATTATGCATGCATGTGCTTTGTGGTAGTACGAGGGGTGCATGCTCTGAAATCGCTCCTGACCAGCGGTGTCCCAGAAATCTGTGAATCAAAAACAAAAATCACCTCCTGTTGATTTAAACTTGACAGTTGATTTTCAAATTGGTGAATGTATTTCCTGTGGTCACTGAGAGCAGAACAGAATCATTTCTAAATGCATACCAATGGCTACTGTCTTATTTCCTACAGTGGCTGTGTGTTTGTAGAGAGTCAAAGCATAGGTTGACAACTGCTGGGGACGACTGTAGAAATAGTTAAGGAGCTCTCTGGGGAAAAAATATCTGCTTATTGGAGGCAAGCCAGCTTGACTTTAAAGGTCCCATATTACGCAAAATCCACTTTTTCATACATTAATGTGTGTCCCCTCTGTGTTAAGAGATTTTGTGAGTTTCAGGAAAAAATATCCCCTCTCTTTTTGTCCTGATCCATTTATATAAAAACCTGTCTGAAGATGAGCTGATCAGGTTTTGGCCACTTTGTGATGTCATAATATTTTTTTGTGTTTTGTAACCATTAGCCAATAACCAGCCAAAGTAACACCTATAACACCTTATCACCTGAATCTCCTCCTAAAGCACCATTGTGTTTGTTTTTAAACCAAACCATTTACATTTAAAGCTACACAAACGGAATCCACACTTTTTAAACAGAGGGGTATATGGAATGCTACAATCTGAGAGACCTATAATATATTGTTGAAAAAGAGTATTAGGTGACCTTTAACGTTTATGCAATGGCCATGGCAGGACGAATACGAATA